TAAGAAAACATGGAGTTAAAATGCATAGAATAAAAATTCGAACGCATAGAATTCACATTTAACTTGATAAATCACAATTTTTCCAGCTATTTGTGCATATGCTGAGCAATAAATCAAGCAAAGAGTTCTTCGTTGAAAACTGGAACTGTACTACCGATATTTTAATTTTGATTTGCCAAGCTTATATGAAACCCATATCCAGCAGAAGAAGCAACACTTCGGTTAGGTTCAGGACAGGTTTTCAATGGGATGTCTTATGATTTACTTACAAAAGGCACCACAATTTATTTAATATTTACTCAAGCGCCACATTTTTTTCTTTAAAAAAATTTAAGCACACTAGGGTACATCATCCTCAAGTATTCTGTAAATTTTCTCTGACAGTTATGCACACTTTTGGGAACATTCTTCAACAAATTCTGAGAAGCTTCAAGAAATATACATATTTTTTATACTACAGTGAAGTAGAATGAAAGAAAATATATCTTGAAGCTAAAATCAAACTGGCAGATGAAAAATTTTTTTTAGCAACAATGCATAACTCAAAATATCTGGGGGCATTTTTCTAACATTTTATTGACATAGGAAAGAAAAAAGCAATAAAAATGTAACTATGCACTTAAAAGTAAGAACATTAGATTAGGCAGGTCAAACTTGAAGTTTGGTACAAAATTATGCTGCATCAAGTTAGGTCAACAAGATGTTCGAAATTAAGTTTCAAGTTAGTTGAGTCGAGGTACAACTCCTATAGATGAGCTCGCGGGAGTGGGTCAAGAGTTGGAAATTATTGACTGGATCTGGGGTTTGAGCACCTCTCGGAATAAAACACTCATTCAAGAACACTAGATCACCTGATGCCCTCGTCGTATTGATGCACACTGTGCATGTTAACAGCTTCCAATCTTGCATTCATCTTTCCAATGGCATTTTGAATGATTTCCTGCTTCCTCCAAGGAAACAGGTACGGATCACCGAGTATTTTTTCTTTAAAAAATTCAAATTCCTGCCGAATGTGCCTCAATTCGAGATCATAAATGTTCTTCTTCGCTTTATTCAATAAAAATTGCGCTCTGCACGATATAAATTGTAATCGCATTGTAGGTCTAACTTGTCTCACGCAAGACCAACAAGATGGAATATTCATTGGAGGATTCCAGCAGTTATTAAATACACGTGTCCCCCCTTTGCGGGTTTTTGATAAGTAGGTCAGGCACCTGAAAAAATAAACCGCAATGAAACTTGATTATTCAAAAGCTTAAAAAAATGCCATTAAAATATCCTTACTTATTATCAGGGCGAATCTTATCACCCCAAAGCTCCTGCAGTCGTCGAATTTTTGTTTCATCAGTCAACGCCTTGGCCATAAACATTTCAACGCTAATATATTTAGTTGGCGAAGCGTCATTCGTTGATGCATTTCCTGTGCAGATGAAGTTACTTTAGTGCACAAAATTAACGAAAGAATCAGAAACTTCAACAAAGGTAGTCTCAAGCAGGGTAAAAGAGCTTGGCGACGTCTCTTTAAAGGCAACGCCAGACGTTGCCTTTAGTTACCACTGCGGTAGTGTTACCCAAAGCAAACAGTGGGTCAAATATGAACGTCATTATGCAGTTATTAAAAATTATGATGGTTATAAAAAGTTATACTGTACAGTATCTGAAAGAACAAAAAATGGGAAAATACAGTGAACACGACAAAAATAAGCTGCAATCATATACTGAAGCAAACTGAGTACTGTACTGTATACGCTGATTACTTTCCGATTTTCGAAAAAATTGGATTGACAAGTAAAAATTTTCATTGGCACTGTCAGCACATGAAGTACAGTATTCAGCACATGAGGCATACTCGCACGAAGTTTGAATTTTTCACATTCACATACCCTAACATTTCACTGATAGTTCAGATTTCAACCAAGTCATAAATAGAAAATATCAAGATAGCATGAGCAAAAAAAAAAGAGCCAGAACAACAAATGCAAAAATAAGCAGGTACAGTGTTGTGATCTTCACGTGCTTCGTAAAGCATTAAGTCAAGTATACAGTATTTAAAATGAATATTTACTATAGATTATTTCACTTCAATTACTTCAAGATTGGGTCATCAGAGGAGCTTCGAGTTTTCACGTTGGAAAAGATTGAAATCACTCGCAGTGTCGAAGAATTCTGTAACTTTTGATCCTGATTCCTGAGTTTTGAACTCGTCGGCACACCCGAATATCAGATAAAATTTTAGTTGCGAGAATTCAAAAGATTTTCGGATGCACCTCCGATAATTTAAAAAACCTAAAATATAAAAAAGGCTGTCACCAAAATCCAAAAATTTTTGACAAACCGATGATTGACGTAATTCCAATATATTTAAAAATGATCAAATAACATAAGCTTTCGCGAATAGAATCGGAAGAAATTTACTAAAATATAAAAAAGGCTGTCACCAAAATCCAAAAATTTTTGACAAACCGATGATTGACGTAATTCCAATATATTTAAAAATGATCAAATAACATAAGCTTTCGCGAATAGAATCGGAAGAAATTTAAGATTTTCCTCTTAAAGATTGCAACTGCGGGCAGAACAACGATTGAAGAAACCTTGTTCATTACGAGCTCACAAGAAACTCAAATGAAACAGGGACTCACATCTTCGATACTTATTACATCGATGAAAGGAGTCTCAAAAAGTGGAAAAAGGTACACAAAATAAGTGCTTATCCATAACATTACATCGATTAAAGGAGTCTTAAAAAGTGGGAAAAGGTACACGAAATAAGTGCTCGGAAGGTTCTTGACCGGCTCCCAGGGTTTTCGAAGTGTGACTCACTTCTGAGGATGGGGTCAATGACAGGGAAGGCAACCACCTCAACCGCATGAAGGAAACCGAGGAAAATGGGGCATCCTGTTTTCTCAGGCTTTTAAAATCTTGAACCTTTCAGTACATGCTGGGAAACGTGGAAATCATCTCCAAAACGTATACCGTTTTCTTAACTGAAAATTGTCGGCTAGTTTTTCTCTAAATGGCCAGAGTTTTCCTACACACTGATCGCTCACAGAATACTGTGTACAATAAATTATTTCAAGAATTACTTGAAGCAAGGCTTTTCATTATCCCACTCTTCAACTCCCCGGTTTGGCTTTCATGAGACTTCGGAATTTGAGTTTTTCCACGATATTCGCAACTTCTTCTCGAAGCAGGTTTTTCAAGTCACCGTAAAAGGCAGAATATGGCAGGAAGAAAAATAAAAAAAAAACCACCAAGCTTTGATGTCACTAGAGCCTAAATTTTAATTTTCATCAATCAAAAGATTGCAATATTCGAAATAGAAAATTGAACAAACATTTTCGGGCAGCCCCTTTACTATACAGGTAGACTACAATAATTTTGTCTGAATTTTCATCTGCGAAGGTATAAGGAATTTTTAAAATATGCGTATATACGTACCCGCGTTGCTTTTTGAGCTTGAAAAAACAACGGTGCTGATATAGGTGGACTTTCTCTCTATAGGCAACGGAAGTCAAAAGACCAGAAACAAAATTCTTATAACATGGAGAGAGAACCCTATGGGACCAGCAAAACAATCATCATGCGGAGAAAATCATTGTTCAAAGGATCATTCTAGAGAGAGAGTCCACGTGTATTCACATAAATACAGTATTCATGTCATTAAAAAAATCAACACTTGAAAAATGTATGCTTCAAAAATCATAACTAAAAAATCCCAAGTCATCCCTTCCTTGAATGAACACATTCGAGGAAGGGATGACTTCCTTGAATGTGATGAAAATCCTCAACCGACCAAAGTGTCGCGTAAAATTTCACAACTCACAAGTACAATAACGAAGTGGGGGTTTCCCATCTACATACAGACAGGTCATATAGAAAGGTAACCAGGAAGAACCACGGTTGCTAAGCAAGAGACGAGACCCGGGTCTGCAACACGGCGCTGCTTTCCCACACCAGTTCCACCCGGAGCCACTGCAACCCTGGCTACTCTACAGCGAAAAAGCAGCCAGGGCCGACTTGCTTATCGATCCCATCCCCCACAGCAGTTTTTCCCAGCTGCGTTTCCCCGACCTCCAGTCCCCGCCAACCACAGCCAGTGTGCAGTCAGAAGCTCAGCAGTTGTGATATCGTGTACGTGTTCTCGCAGTGTTTACGTTACAGTATTTTCTCCAAGACCGAGATTCCGTCAGCGGGGAACTAATCTTTCGTGGACTCCGAACCCGAGAATCTCAGAATTCGTGTGCGTGACCGTTCCTTACCTCTAGATCTTAGGTTGTGTCGCTGGTTGTTATCTTTGTTGTGTTCTACCTCCTTGTGTCCCATTCTTAGTTGAAAGGCATAACTGCGTTTATACTTGTGGGCTCTAAAAAGTTCGGAAAAAATTTTAAAATCACATCAGTAGGCGAATAGAGGTGGACTCTTGCTACTACGAAATTCAAGGGACCAGAAAAACGATTGTCCTAGAAACCGCCTGTTGAGAACCCTATTATGGGGCCAAAGAAAAATTATTTTATCCAGAAAATATTGTAGATAAGATCATTATGGAGGGTCCACCTGTATACGCACCCACTTACTTTCTTGGTGTTCTGACTTTCCAGGAATAAAATGCTGAAGTTGACCATTTTCCTAATTCATTTTGAACTTAAATTCCAAAAGAATGCAAGAAAACAAGTGCTCGATTGTTTTGTAGGCTGCAAACATGAAGACTTCCTGATATAGATGCACGTTTACACAATTTTCATATATATACAAATTAGAAACACCCCATTTCTTGAGCTTCTAAAATTCAACAAAAGGTGTGATTTGCGTAAATACGTTAAGACAAATGCACCGTACTCGGTTTATCCCCAAATTCTTTCAAGTAGGAGATAAAGGAACTAAGTATACATGTATGCACAGTAAGATTTCCCACGGCACCAAAGCAACTGGGCTCTAAAAAGTTATTTCAATAAGAAATGTGTTCAGGAGCATGTGGCTTTCACGGCATAACTTCGTCATACACTGAATCACTGTATCGAACAAATGATTAATAGGTTTAATACCTGTCTCACATCGGTACCCAACCAAAAGCCCCACTGATGACCACTGCAGGTGAAGAATCCCTTTATATACTCAACTTACAAACATATTGGTACTTGGCCTTGCGCTGAGCCTGCTGGTGAAAGGTGCAGCTTATACCATCAAGAGTTACATGAATACCTGTAATCCCCTATTTTTGCACAAAGGGGGGGCTTTTGCCCTAGGGGGGGCTTTGGGTCTACACCCCTCACATCCAGGGTACATGGATATTAAACTACAGTACATCTAGACTCTTTTTAAAACAATTTTCATTGAATAACGCATATTTTTGGTCCCATAGTAGGGATCTCTACCATCGCTATATAGGTTCTCTACAACAAAATTCCATCTTTGACGCATTCCATTCTGGTTGCTTGAATTTTGTTGTGGAGACAGACTACCTGCATAATACAGTACCACAGATTGATGGAAAACCTGGCAAAATGGATTTCGCATCAGTGACATGCGGCCATCACTGTTTGTCTTCACGTAATCAACACTGTTCTATAAGTATTTTAGACAGTACATGAAAATTACTGACCTTTAAATTTAATGATATTCCAAGTACAGTAGATACAGTACAAGCTTTTCTGGATGCCGTGGAATAGTTTTCGAAGAATTTTTTATGCTTCCGGTTTCATGCTGAAGGCAAGGAATGGAGATCTAGAATCCAACACAGCGACCAACAATAGAAACAACACAAGATGGAGGAACACAGGGTAAGAATCAACTTTCCGTATTGACGCAAATATGAACACCCGAGATTTTTCAAGCAAACAAAATTTTAAAATCACATCAATAGACGAATATTAGAGGTGGACTCTTGCTACTACGAAATTCAAGGGACCAGAAAAACGATTGTCCTAGAAACCGCCTGTTGAGAACCCTATTATGGGGCCAAAGAAAAATTATTTTGTACAGAAAATATTGTAGATAAGATCATTATGGAGGGTCCACCTGTATACGTACCCACTTACTTTCTTGGTATTCTGACTTAACAGGAATAAAATGCTGAAGTTGACCATTTATGAACTTGAATTCCAAAAGAATGCAAGAAAACAAGTGCTGGATTGTTTTGTAGGCTGCAAACATGAAGACTTCCTGATATAGATGCACATTTACAGTATATACAAATTAGAAACACCCCATTTTTTGAGCTTCTAAAATTCAACAAAAGGTGTGATTTGCGTAAATACTTCAAGACCAATGCGCCGAACTCCGTTTATACCCAAATTCTGTCGAGTAGGAAATAAAGGATCTAAGTATACATGTATTCACAGTAAGATTTCCCACGTCACCAAAGCAACTGGGCTCTAAAAAGTTATTTCAATAAGAAATTTGTTCAGGAGCATGTGGCTTTCACGGCATAACTTCGTCATACACTGAATCACTGTATTGAACAAATGATTAATAGGTTTAATACCTGTCTCACATCGGTACCCAACCAAAAGCCCCACTGATGACCACTGCAGGTGAAGAATCCCTTTATATACTCAACTTACAAACATATTGGTACTTGGCCTTGCGCTGAGCCTGCTGGTGAAAGGTGCAGCTTATACCATCAAGAGTTACATGAATACCTGTAATCCCCAATTTTTGCACCAAGGGGGGGGGGGAGGGGATTTCCGGGGGCTTTCGGACTACACCCCTCACATCCACGGCACATGAGTACAGTATTAAACTACATCTAGACTCTTTTTAAAACAATTTTCATTGAATAACGCATATTTTTGGTCCCATAGGGGTCTCTACCATCGCTATATAGGTTCTCTACAACAAAATTCCATCTTTGACGTATTCCATTCTGGTTGCTTGAATTTTGTTGTGGAGACAGACTACCTGCATAATACAGTGCCGCAGATTGATGGAAAACCTGGCAAAATGGATTTCGCATCAGTGACATGCGGCCATCACTGTTTGTCTTCACGTAATCAACACTGTTCTATAAGTATTTTACAACAGTACATGAAAATTACTGACCTTTAAATTTAATGATATTCCAAGTACAGTAGATACAGTACAAGCTTTTCTGGATGCCGTGGAATAGTTTTCGAAGAATTTTTTATGCTTCCGGTTTCATGCTGAATTTATTTCTTCTGAGTATTTCACTCTCGGTGATCCGAAGATGAAGATTTCAGAAAAACCACATTTATTCAGAAGAATTGCGAGTTCAGGGTTGATTTCTTGGCGCTCAAGGCATTGATCAAACGTCTCCCTCCAGAGCAATGAAACGGAAACTCAAGGGAACCCAGGACATGGAGAATCCATGGATATGGTTCAAGACAAAGACGAATTGCTTAGAAAAAAGGACTCCGAGATTCACGAGCTTCAGGAGGCCAGTATGATTAAAGAGATGGAAATAAACGTTCTCAAGGTAAGTTCACAATTTCTACTAGCTAAAAACGACTGCAGCAAACCAAAAAAATCTCCACTGCTGGTCCACAGTCGAAACTGAAAGAGCATGAGCAGAACACCGATTCCCACGTCGTCAAGGACGATTCCGAAGAAATTCTCATTCTGAGGACATTGTGCAAGGACAAGGAATTTGTGGTAGATGCTTTAAATAAGCAGGTGGAGTCTTTGCAAGAGGAAATTCTCGCGTTTCAGCAGCAACAAACAGACGCCAACGTTGATGCGGCGGAATTTAAAGAATTGTCGGCAGAAAACGAAGCCTTAAAATATGACTGCATTTCCAAAAATGAAAGGATCGATGGGTTACTCGCTCAGATAAAACAGTTAGAATCTGTTTCCGAATCTTCAAATACGATTTCAGCAGAAAACGAATCTCTGAAGGCAGATATCAAAGTAAAGAATGAGCGACTGGAAACCCTCCAACAGCAGGTGGAGATGCTCGAAGAAAATTTTGCACACCATCAGAATGAACTCAAAGTCTTCTCTGCGAAAGGTGACGAAGACCAGGCAATCGTTGATCAACTTCACCATGATCTGTGAGCACTTAATCGTCAAATGAAAAACACGATTTCAAGTTTAATTTTACACTCTTTCATCTTCAGAGAAAACGCGAAGGGCCAGATAAAAGAACTGGAAATGAAACTAAAAACTGCTGAGGAAGAGAAGACCATTTCTGCACAAGAACTGGCACACTTTCAGTCCACCTTTCCGGCATTGGAGGATTCCAGAAACCGGTAAGAAACGAATCCATAACAAATTTCTTCTTCAGATACAGGGCGCAATTTCGAGCTAAATTCCCTGCATCAATTCCCCAATAAACATTGCGTTAAAATCCTCTCTAATTCAATAGCTTTCCCCCTCAAACCTCCATACTGTAACTTCCTGAGGGCCTCTCGTTCAACGTTTCATTGACTCAGAAAGAAGAAAAGCAATTAAAGTTCAACTAGATAAGTTTTGAAAGGAAGAAAGGGATTTTTTGGGCAAATGAATCATTGCCTCCAGGGTTGGGCATCCTGTTAACTCACTAAAGACGGAATTTGAGGTCTAGAACACCAGAATTACGATTTCAAGCAATCCTTCCTCAATAAAAAATGCTTGTTGCCCAAAATCCAAACTTAACTAATTCAATTTTTGTCTTCTGGTTCTTCGGATAAGGTTTGAATTAATGGCGTTTGATAACAAACGGAACCATTTTTCTTTCACATTTCAGTGAGGAGGCTAAGAGGAAGTTGCTAGAAAGCAACTTAGAAGTCCTGAAGGATGAACTAGCCAAGTCAAGAGCAGCTTACATGGAATCCAAGCGGGAACTCGACTCCCTCAGCTCTAAAAAACAGGTTCGGTAATTTGCGGATACAGTACTTTAAAAAAACCAGTTCTAATTATAATTTCCGTTTAATTTGTCATTAGAGCATTCAGAAGGATGAATTCCTGCCTGTTGATCAGGTTTACGCCGCTATTGGGATCGACGCCTCGGGAAAAAGTGAAGTTGAAGTGACCGTAGTTGGACTCGTTTCCCTCGGGATTTCTCTCCTGCTTGCTTTAATATTTTCAATAGTTTCATGGTGATCATGAGCACGTAACGGTCATCATGGGAAATGTCTCAGAAAACTTCAGTCACCGACTTCATCCGACGAGAATAACACGATGCAAACCGTAAGTTCCAGAATCAGCGCTTATTATCGAGAAGTTTCTCATGCTGTTGCGCAAGCAGCTTTGCGGTTTCGACAACGAATTTCCACGCGTGTAAATTGCTGCTGAAAATGCTTCGCTCATTTTTCTTTTAAATCCTGTTGGCGTAATCCGAAAGAAAATCGGCTGTTCGCAAAGCTCATAAAACTTAGGAATTCAAGCTTGAAAGTTCACACGACGGATCCAGTCTGACCATTAAATAATTATATAGTGACAGTCAGTGTATGAAAGCTTTGATTTCCGCTCGGGAATTCGATGATCGTATGCATTTGTACAGAGGTCAAGAATGACAGGTATACGCGCCGAAAATGTGTTATTCACTGATATCAACGCTCACCCAACGAAGTACCGATTTAAAAATGCCGAAGCATGCGTCGCCCTCTTATCCTGGGCAGGAACACGTGGCACAGCATGACTGACGCAACAGTCCACTGCATAACACACGCAAGTCTTTTGATCATCGGACGAATACTGTACGAGTATGAACACGATCAACGCGTGGCAACTGCTCTCATGATGTGACTGATACTGATTCACGCGTTGCGCAAGGGAGATTTCCGAACACTGATACGAGGAACTTGCTGCTAAAATCACATACACCAGAGAGCAACCCCGTCAAAAGTTCGCAAGCACATGGCTTTGCGCAGCTCAGGTCATTTCGCGCAACTCGCTGCGGTGTCACAATACAATTCTGACCCAGGAGTTACTGTGATCCCGCGCGATGTCAGCGGACTACATTGGTAACTCCGCAGCTATCTTGTGATTCGAGCTTCAACTATGCGCAAGCCGGATGCGAGTACAGTACACAAACTGGCATCTCTATGATGGGCGAACCGTGTCTTCTATACAATACAACGACCATATAGAAGGAAGGGACGCTGGGAGGGTGTGGACAGATAATGTCTCCTGGGCGTGGTACAGTTCACCGTTGGTGGCGTAAGAACTGCAGGAAGTTCATCTACAGTCGCACGAGGTTTCGCGCATATCACAGAAACTTTCGGACGCGAGCATTGCCGGCTGATGGTAAAGGTGTCCGGATCCACGGAAAGTGTCCTGAAAAAAAAGAGAACCATATTGCCCCTATCCTAACATGGCTAACATTGTAATCTGCCGACGGTTCCGGACTTCCCGAGTCTCTCAACAAGTACTTGCGACTGACTTACTCAATCAAGTACTGTATTTCACTTCGAAGTAGCGAGAAAATCGACTACTGCAAGTTTTTCTTCGTTAATTTCTGCAATATTTATTCAAGCCATAATTCTATCCCCGCAGGTAAAAAATAATTTAATTGCTGCAGGTAATAGCCAGAGCAATTTAAAAATTGCTCCATTGATTATTTCTCAAACTGCTTTTCAACAACGGCCGAATCAACATGAACTTGGCAAGTTTTCTGCTAATGCATATGTACGAACGGCATGATCAGCGTAACTTTTCTTCGGATTTTCAGAATTCTTCATTCAAGAATTGACTTGAGCATATGCAAAACATACTGAATATATAGAAATGAATATACCGGCAACTGTTTTTAATCTTCAACTTGCTCAGTCGGTATGTCACTGCTGCATAATAAAACTGCGATACCTCATCCAACTCATAGCCACCATGAAAGTCGAGGACCAGAGATACGATTTTATTGACAAGCTCCAGTCCTCGCATTCATTCCAATACTTGTCCCACAACAAATTCACCCGTTCCTGTTCCCTGAATTAAAATGAATAAAATAAATAATTCTTGGGGTAAACCTCGAATAATCCGAATTTGATACCAAGGGTTTTTCTTAATGGTTATTAAACAACTATCAATGGATATTCAATATACTGCAAGTAAGTTAATCCATAGGTTCTTTCCAATGCTCACTATGATGGATATCTAACACTTCCAGCACTATACAGTACAGTACCACTATACAGTACTGTACTGCTGGTATAGTGGCAGTGTGAAAGTAGCGGACTGGTTTACACCCTGATTTACAGTAACTTAAAACTCTTGTGAAAAGTCCCATGTGTACCTTATGCCGTGATGTAAATGATTTGTACTCGGAAAGTTAACGGTGTTTGTATAAAAGTCGATATTTTTCGTATTGTTTGTAAAAGAGTTTCTTCTGTAAATTCAGTTATTTTTAAAATCAGGAATTTTGACGGTTCAAAGTTATTATAATTTACTGTACAGTCGAAAAATTAATTTTTCCATTTTATATGCATTTGTTTAATACCGGCACTTTTCTTGAAATATTAGAACTGTTATGGAATTCTTTTTCAATGCTGGATTTAGTCCAATTGCATTTAAATTCAATTTGGGCACACATGCATTATTTCAAGTATTGTATTTTTTACTTTTAAACTTCAACTTTTCTTATTTTAATGCTGAACACACACAAATGAAAATGTATGCACCAAATTCTGGTCCTGAATTCGATGGAATATGGTGCACCAGCTATGTTACTCACATAGACAAGGTATTCAGATTTGTTTGAATGAAAGTAGAACATTTCCTGAAACTATTTCCTGGATTTTTATACGTGTTTAAGATTGCGCTACCACATGCAACAGTTACGGATTTTTACGAGCGAAAATCAAGAAAGTGACACTGAAAGAAATAATTGTTGAAAGAACGCATTAAAACTACACACAAAACACAGAATTCCCACAAACAGCTTCGCTATAAAAATTGTTTTCAGAGAAGAACATCATACAAGACCAAATTTAGGGAAACACTGACCTCAAAGCAAACAAGCAAACTATTGTAATCTGAAAAATGTGGTCAATCTAAAAAGTCCGGAAACCTCTGCATAAAAGCAACACGAAGGCCAGAAATGGAAAATTGAGTGCATATAACCATCAGATGAGCATCAAACTACACAGAGGCACATCTTATGGAAATCAAGAACTGATCACAACAAGTTCTCACCGGAATTCATCATGACGATTAGAAACTCGATTTATTTCTTCAGTCATCCTTTGGAAGGCATCTTGACGATGAGAATCCTTCTCCCATGGTTTCAAATAAGGGGAATGGTAGATTTGCGCTTGAACAGATTCAAACCTAGCCTCAATTTGTTTCTTAATTTCCATAACCTGCCTCGAATTCTCTTGAAAAGTTGATTTTACTCGAAAATATTTGAAATGTAACCTCAGTACAGGTGAAACGTGTGACAACTTTCTGCTGCAATCAGGAAGCATGCTTAAAGGAAGGATCCAATGACTATTGACTATAAGTTTCTGTTTCTTATTCCTGCTGTCGACAGGAGTGGAGAAAAACGTCAGGCACCTGAGAAAAAATGTGCAAAATTTCAATCCATCGGAATAAATTCAATAAAATAAAGTAGGTTCAAGGAGTGTTACCGATCTTCAGATTCAGAATGAGTTCTCTGACCGCCCCACAGCATTTCCAATTTAACTAAGCATTGTCGCGGATTTTTGCACAAGGCCACAAGATTTTTAATATGGATGAGATCTACTCGCGAAGATATACTTTCCTTCGAGCCATTTCCTGCAAAAAATATACTTAATTTTCAATGAACCAAAAAATTCCAGCTTCACTCAAACTAACCCTGGGATTGTGTTGCCTCTTGTTCCACTGACGATGATTCATTCCTGATGGATTCATTTTCAAGTTCTGTAAAGAGCTTTAATGTTTAATGACGAATAGGAGTTTTAATCAAAGTTGTTAGTAAATCTCGCATAAAGGCCGCTTTTATTATTAAAAAGTCGTTTGGTTTTTCTAGTTCGAAGTGAGTTTGATTGGGACCCTAGTTGTTGCCTCTTGATCCACTGACGATGATACATTCCTGATGGATTCATTTTCAAGTTCTGCAAATACGAAATTACAAATTACTGCTTATCCTCAAAATTAGCTTCAATAATCTGGGCACATTTAGAATGTATTCCCGCCGAAAATAATAATTTTTCAGCAAACCAAAAAAAGTCCAGCTTCACTCAAACTAACCCTGGGATTGTGTTGCCTCTTGTTCCACTGACGATGATTCATTCCTGATGGATTCATTTTCAAGTTCTGCAAATACGAAATCACAAATTACTGCTTATCCTCAAAATTAGTTTCAACAATCATTTAGAGCGTATTTCCGGGGAAAATAATAATTTTTCAGCAAACCAAAAAGATCAAGCTTCACTCAAACTAACCCTGGGATTGTGTTGCCTCTTGTTCCACTGACGATGATTCATTCCTGATGGATTCATCTTCAAGTTCTGCAAATACGAAATTACAAATTACTGCTTATCCTCAAAATTAGCTTCAACAATCTGGGCACATTTAGAATGTATTCCCGGCGAAAATAATAATTTTTCCGCAAACCAAAAACATCAAGCTTCACTCAAACTAACCCTGGGATTTTGTTGCCTCTTGTTCCACTGAAGATGATACATTCCTCAAAGATTCATTTTCAAGGTCTGCAAACACAAAATTACACATTATTCCTTCCTCAATGAGATTTGGATAATCTGAACAAATTTTGAACTCACCACGGGATTTTGTTAGATTTTTGTCAACCAAAGACTGGTTTGATTCCTCTCCTGCCAAACATAAATTATAAATTTTTAATCAAGAAATTTAAAAATTGTTGCTGACTTTTAACATACCACATGGTGTTTCTTGAATTGGGATGACCAGAGGCAAACTCTCAGATGACTCATGCATGCCTGCACATACAATAAGAAGGCCTTTAATCACAAAATTAGGGATTTGATTTTATCTTGAACATACCACTGGGTCTTCTCTGATGTTCCTTGACCACTAAAGCACTGGGGGGATCATTCAAACAACACTTGTATATTTATTGTAAAATTCATTGTGATGGATTGTATAAGGGTTGATTAATAGCCATGGTCCATTCCTTTCTCAGGGACCATGTGTGCAAGTTAACACAGCAAATTTATATATAATCAATATAAGACCCAGGATGGCCAAACTTCATCATTTGGACATTTCTTTATTGGTAAAGAAAAGAAAAGAAGGATAATTATGGAAACAATCCTAAAAGAGAAAATAACAATCCACTCTTAAAAATGATGAAACAATTCAAATCCTGATGGAGGATGAAACAGGTTACTCCTGAAAGAGCAAGAATAAATCCATACTTGAATTTTAAAATATTCACGCTTNCGAAATTACAAATTACTGCTTATCCTCAAAATTAGTTTCAACAATCATTTAGAGCGTATTTCCGGCGAAAATAATAATTTTTCAGCAAACCAAAAAGATCAAGCTTCACTCAAACTAACCCTGGGATTTTGTTGCCTCTTGTTCCACTGACGATGATTCATTCCCGATGGATTCATTTTCAAGTTCTGCAAATACGAAATTACAAATTACTGCTTATCCTCAAAATTAGTTTCAACAATCTGGGCACATTTAGAGTGTATTTCCGGCGAAAATAATAAATTTTCAGCAAACGGACCGAACAAGCTTCACTCAAACTAACCCTGGGATTTCGTTGCCTCTTGATCCACTGACGATGGTACATTCGTGATGGATTCATTTTCAAGTTCTGTAAATACGAAATTACAAATTACTGCTTATCCTCAAAATTAGCTTCAACAATCTGGGCACATTTAGAATGTATTCCCGGCGAAAATAATAATTTTTCCGCAAACCAAAAACATCAAGCCTCACTCAAACTAACCCTGGGATTTTGTTGCCTCTTGTTCCACTGACGATGATGCATTCCTGATGGATTCATTTTCAAGTTCTGCAAATACGAAATTACAAATTACTGCTTATCCTCAAAATTAGTTTCAACAATCTGGGCACATTTAGAGTGTATTTCCGGAGAAAATAATAATTTTTCAGCAAACCAAAAAGATCAAGCTTCACTCAAACTAACCCTGGGATTTTGTTGCCTCTTGTTCCACTGAAGATGATACATTCCTCAAAGATTCATTTTCAAGGTCTGCAAACACAAAATTACACATTACTCCTTCCTCAATGAGGTTTGGATAATCTGAACAAATTTTGAACTCACCACGGGATTTTGTTAGATTTTTGTCAACCAAAGACTGGTTTGATTCCTCTCCTGCCAAACATAAATTATAAATTTGTAATCAAGAAATTTAAAAATCATAGCTGACTTTTAACATACCACATGGTGTTTCTTGAATTGGGATGACCAGAGGCAAACTCTCAGATGACTCATGCATGCCTGCACATACAATAAGAAGGCCTTTAATAACAAACTTAGGGATTTGATTTTATCTTGAACATACCACTGGGTCTTCTCTGATGTTCCTTGACCACTAAAGCACTGGGGGGATCATTCAAACAACACTTGTATATTTATTGTAAAATTCATTTTGATGGATTGTATAAGGGTTGATTAATAGCCATGGTCCATTCCTTTCTCATGGACCATGTGTGCAAGTTAACACAGCAAATTTATATATAATCAATATAAGACCCAGGATGGCCAAACTTCATCATTTGGACATTTCTTTATTGGTAAAGAAAAGAAAAGAAGGATAATTATGGAAACAATCCTAAAAGAGAAAATAACAATCCCCTCTTAAAAATGATGAAACAATTCAAATCCTGATGGAGGATGAAACAGGTTACTCCTGAAAGAGCAAGAATAAATCCATACTTGAATTTTAAAATATTCACGCTTATGCAAGTGCTTCAGAACACCAAGAAGAAAGAAATAAATACAGGTGGACTCACTCCACAAAAATCTTGTGTACAAAAAATGCATCTGTGCATAAAAAACGGTTGTTGCAGGGTCCCACGTATTGGGGTTTCTAAAAGAAAATTCTGCCTACAACAAATTGTTTTCTCGTTCCTTGAATTTTGTTGTCAAGAGAGGCCAACTGCAGCACCCAAGTGGGGAGCTACTTTTGCTGTGACCCCACAGTATAGGTGCACACCAGGGTCACAACTGGAGCATATGGGATATTCTGGGGTTACAAGTGTGCACTCCTGTAGAGGAGATTTTGCTACCAATCCAGGGTTACACTTGGTGCACAAATGTGAAATAACAGGAGCATCACACAAATGCACCAACTGTAGCACATCGGGGATATGCATGTGCAACAGAAGAACTTTGGTACACTTCAGGTGCACAGCAGGGTCACTGTGTAGAATTACAAACAAATCCCCAGTGTGCACCAATTTCCCCACTCGGGGCATAGACAGTGAAAACTGCTCAGGCTTTGGGCACTTTCCTGATGGGACACCTAGCAACAGAATGCTGTTATTGAAGAGAAGGGAATATATTCTTCAACCGTTTTCCCACTTCTGCAGAAAAGGCAAGGACGCCTGGCCTCAGGTAAAGTTCACTGACCATCACTTTTTTGTTTACTAACTATCCTGTACATGCTGAGGTCAACGCCCCAAACCCACAGGTGGGGGGGAAGCGAATACTGAAACCAGGTGGGAAAGAGAATTCTGAACCATTATTGGAGTGTGTACTTCCAAGGCATTAAATTCCCTTTTTGTACTCTGAAGTACAAAAAAGATTTTCTTTGAGTACCGTTTTCCTGTCTATTTTTTCCACTTTTCACATGTGCTTTTGGTCACGCTGTACGCATGCAAAATGTTTGATTTTGAAAATTTGAAAGATGCTGAGTTGTGCACACCAAAATTAATCCCATCTGCACCCAAAATGCCTTTAAATTTTCGCTGTGTAGCGATAAAAGAAAAATTAAACAACCTAACAATAAAAATGTGTCAAATTTCGCAAAAACTTGCAGACTGTCGAGTCCTACAGTCCCTTAACTGCGTACGTTTTATACATTAGAACTTTTTAACTTTCTACGACTCGAGATGTGCTTTTCATTTAACGTATTTGACTTTAATTAAGTTTTAGAACGAAACGAAACCAGAGATTAACCAAAAATAAATCACCCACTAAGAAAAGTTTTTCAAAATTTGTCGCACGAGACTGTTCAGGATATCAGGATTTGGTCATTGAATCACACTGAAGTCACAATTACCGTAATCACCAATTATAAAGAGTATAATCATCATTACGCTTGAACCCAGAAAAAGTATTCGCTATATAACTTTTCCAGGCAAACCATTACTTATATATAGGCTGCAAACCCAATTTTTTCAGGAAAACTGCGACCCCAAAATCCTGTCATTCTCTAATCTTTTAGTGGGACAGCCATGTTAAATACTGTGGTTTTTTCTGGGGTGGGGCAAAAGAAATGAGAGTTATCTGTGTCGTGAGTAGACCCAGCGTTAACTTCTGTTTGACTCTAAGGGGCGGCTTTGGAGCGTGTTCACATTGTTATTGTGTGCGTCGCTGTTGGCGACCACATTAAAAATATATACCTTGTGATTATTCATTTTTTTATTCATGAAATTGTACCGCAGGAATATGTGCATCATTTCTTGGCCTATAGATTATTTGTAGTCCAAAATTATAATCGTACAGCACTGTACTGTATTCTTGGATTCATTTTTTTACATTTAAAGAATGGTGTTTTTTAATTCATTCTTCTCCTTGACATATCAGCGTCAGTTTAACGGACAGCAAATTTTTTGCTGATCTGAAAAAAAGGAAAATTTGTTTGAAAAATATTCCTTGCCTTTGGAAAACGCACAGATGTAGTTGCATCTCTTTGAGATGGGCAATTAAGGTACAAAAACTCAACATATTTGGATTACAAATTTGTCAATGCGTAGTTTACAGTATTTTTAAATTATTCCCTGAAATATAATGCTGAGGCATCTAACAGTCTGCCATTTCTCCATGAATCCAAGAAATGCTTATCAAATATAAGTTTTACGTTTTTTGGAATTATAAAGAATGGCGCATATATTGTTCAACCGTTCATTTGTCAAGCACAAGAATGCAATACGCTAAGCACCATTTTTCAAACGCAACGAATGAATAAAAATAAAATACGAATAATGTTGGAAAAAAGATAATCTGGGTAGAAAAAATGACGCACGTTTTCCTGGGGAACACTGTTGTAAGAATAAAAATAAAGTGAAGCAAGACCCCAAAATGCGGACACACCCAACATACCGTACACACAATAATTCACCTTGGGGACACGAAAGCTTTGGAAATCTCGACATCTTGAGATATACGGACACTTTTCCAACATTTTTGGAAAAAATTTTACATATCATTTTCTAAATTTTACAACAGTATTTCCGGACGAAATTGAGCTACTTATATTCACAAATACTAAAAATACAGTTGAGTTTAAAATTACCCTCATTCACAATTTTTAAAAAAGCTAATTTTGCTCCTTTTTTCAGTGTCTTTTAATTAAGTGTGCTTCGTGAGCAAAGTCTGTTCCTGTTCTTTGTTTTTTTTAGCTCCTTCAGATGCCAAAAGAACCGATTCAGTCTGATTTTCTTCTGTACACGTATTTCCTGCATCTCGAAGTTGAAAAAAAATGATTTTATTCAGTCCTTGGGAGTCTTCCAGCACTCAATTATCGATCTACAGGAGAACCAATTAAAATATGTACACTGCTGAAGTCAATGGGAAAATGGGGGTTCAACATGATGTGGGCTGTCTGACATAGGGACAGGATATAAGCACCAATTACGCCCGCATCTGAGGGTCTTCAAAATTAAGAAGAAAATCATACGAGTTGTCACCTCTGGTGAGTTGCCACGTAACCACAGACGACCGACATTCGATCACTTCCATAAATAGAACTTCAAAACTGTTCAGACGAACCCTATACATTACATGCACAGCGCGGAGGCTTTATCTTATCTCGGTATTTCCGGCACAGTTTACCATTCACGCTCCTTTCCGTGCAATTATTTCTCCTCAGGAAAGACACAGAACGTCATCCAGGTCACGGCACTGCACTTCTTCAACAACACGTATCTAATACAGTACTGTAACACCAGTACATGTGAACTTCTGATTGGACCACAGCCTTTCTGCATAGCTTGCTTCCGCGTGTCTGAGCAAGCCGGCACCAGTTGCAACTGATGATGCTTGCTGCTGGCATCAGGTGCACCCAGCAGAGAAGGTTTCCTCAGAAGTTATGCCCTTACTGCAACCAGCATTCACTCTTATTGACGGATTGGCAACCCTATTGAGAGTGCTGGTGCTCACCCCTCCCCAAGGGCCATGCTGCATGGGGAAGAATTTGTTTTTTCCTTCAGGCCCAGGATTCAAGGCCTTTCTTTTTGAAGACTCCCTATACTGTACATAAGACACCCTCCTTATTATCTCAACAGGCAGCATCAGCCCCCCACCCTGCAATGGCCAAGGGATTTTTCGTTTTAGTTTTCATGGGGACCTATTCAAACTGGCAGGAGTTACTGCATCAGATGAACCTTCTCTTAAGCTGATTTTTTTTTCAAGTCCCCACCTGAATTCTCACAGAAACAATGCATTAAAAACCTCCATAACTCAGAGGATTTTCATCTGAAACCTCCACAAGTCAAATTTTCTGAGGCCTATATTGACTATTATTTTCTTGACACAGGAAAATAAAAGGCAATGAAAAAGTAGCATGCTATGTTTGAAAATGTAGTCAAAGATTAATTGGGCGAATGAAGCCTTGCCTCCAAGTCCAGCATCCTGTCAGCTCATTTAAGAAGCAATTGAAGCCCAGAATTTTATCATTCACAATATCCTGAAATTCTTCTGATGTGTGTTCCAGAAATGCTGGTGCTGTTCTTATTCATTCCTAACCACTGGCATGGATCCCTGTCACATAGTCAGTCACTGCTTCTTCATTCTTTATACTTGGGGGAAAAACTTGGCCACAAAAAATACTATACTGCACAGTATATTGTTATCCTTTTTGATAAATATAAAGGATTCTAATGTTTGAGTATCTCCTCAATGTGATGGATATATGAGAACAACAAGGAAAGTCTGATGAACAGACAAAGTTTTTACTGTACACTATGACTAGTACACAAAGTACAGTCAAATCTCTCCAAGTCAAATTTCAAGGGACCAGCAAAAAACTTTGACATAGAGAGGTTTCAACTTTGGGAGGATTTGAGTTATGGAATCAAGCATTTTTTCATGGGAAATATAAAAGAAATGAACTAAATTATAAATGGTGATATTCTGGGCCTTTAATTGTTTCTAGAATGAGCTGACAGGACACTGAACCTGGAGGCAGGGTTTCATTTTCCCAATTTAGTCTGTCACATCCTTTCAAAACACATTGTAATGTTTTTTTTTCTTTTCTATATGTCAAGAAAATAATATCCAGAAGAGTTCAGAAAATTTGACATATGGAGGTTTTTGAGAAAAAGCCTTTGAGTTAGGGAGGTTCTTAATGCATTTTTTCTAAGAGAATTCAGGAGGGGACTTGAAAAAATTTGGAATTGGGGAGATTTGACTTATCAAGGTTCATTTGTACAACCAACACAGGCAACATAGATAACACAGACTCCTATGGGGCCCAGCAAGCAACTGAGGATCAGAACAGATCCTCAGCAGGGAGAGCTCATGAGAGTAATGTCCAATCTGTCTTGCTTTGCACATGGTTTATATACTCCAAAGCTATAGGGATTCCCAGAGAGATGAGGAGAAGCATAAGAGAGAACCAAACCAGGAATTGCCTTGAGTAGCTAATATTGGAATATATTCAAGGACTTTGCATGAATAAAAAGGCTCTGGGTTCCAGGTAGGGATCTATTGTGCTTATTGTCATGATAGTCATCAATCATAACAAGCAACTCTGATTATAATAGGTTGTACAAGGAAGAGAATCATTACTCATAACAGGCAAAACCCATTAAAAGTGGTTTCCCATATAGGAGAGGCTGCCATTATTCATGGAAAAGTACTTCAGAGGAATGCCTCATTAATGTGCATTCTAAGGTATGAGGAAAGATGCAAGTAATGAGAGTCATTCCCAAGGACTCGCTGGACTTGCCATGTGAGAACTGCGCAGTACGGATTTCTGATCATGTTGCTTTCTGGAAGCATGCATTGAACACTGCTGTTATGTGTGTGTATGCTAGCATGCCAGTTAGTACTGGGCATCCACGCTGCCGGCTGGCATTTGCTCAAGTTCGGTTCACACCTTAACATCACGGAAAAGGCTGGTTCACACCACCGCAGTATTATATACTCGTTGCAATTGTAAACTTTCTTTCAAAATTTTGAAGACATGAGCCAACACTTTTTTTTTGTCTGTGGGTTACCAAAATTCAAACTCAACTTCATTACCATATTTATTCAAGTAACAGGTGTACCTATTCTCTCAAATGTGAGAAGAAGAAAAGGCAGGGCGTGTCATGGTGGGGATGCGTTTTTCAAAACTTCTTAAAAATTTAGGAGAGCATTATAATTGATTCAACAGGAAATATGATTACCCTAAGTTCAATAGATAAACTTATTTCAATGGATTCAAAAATGTGTTCAATTCAGGGTCATTCATGTCTAAATTCAGCACAGCAGTACTGCTGGATGTTCTTGTTTTTGAAATATTATGGATCAAGAGTCACTAAACTCAGGATCTTCAACTTACTGAGGGATGCAACTTCATCAAAGTTTCCATCTGGAAAACCTCGTGGCATGTCTCACTTGACAGTGCATGACACTTGAGTAAATATACTTACCCTTCCTAGCACACCTAATGAAAAAATATATACTATTCGCTGAATTTACTGCTGATGCAAACCATATTCCCTTCCTACTATACATGAGCCAGGGTGGGCACTCGGCAAATGCGGGCACGTTGTACCCATTTACCACAGAATGAAAAAGGAAGAGGGGGGGGGGGGATGTGGTGAAAGTCGACCTGAAAGATTCTGCAATGGACTTCTTTCCCAGAGATATGCACTGCGCGTAAGTTCCCTCACCCCCTCCAGCACAGCTGTACACTTACAGCTTACAGCACATATAGTGCAGCATTTCAACCCTGGGTTGAGGGCTGGCTGGTTTCCTTGACTCCACCCACAGCAACACTTCTTTCCCTGAATGCAAAGGCACACATGAAGTAGAGAACACAGATTTTGAAGTTCCTCCGAAGCATTGTCAAAATTTCTGCTGCGTCTTTATGAATCTCATGATTCACATGCTGGAAACAAGAAGGTAACAGCCTAACCTCATCACTTTATACGACTTCAAATTCTTCCCTTATATTGCAGCATAACACACCATTCCCGTGATTCACGCCATCTTCAGCAGAAGCCTGAAATACAGTTTACAATATTTTCACTACCCTTAAACAGATGTCACCATAGTACCGAAGACAAACCGCACTTCGTTAAAATCTCCTCTCCAGAAACTACGCACACTACGGAAAGGGGAATTTCAAAATAAATGACACGTGCAACGTATTTTTCTGATTTTATGAATATATCAACAGAACATCGTAAAAAATAACCACCCGAAGATTGGACATCGCGACAGAAATATCAAATTCACATAATTTTGCGGAGATCAAATTTTTCTTCCCCCACCACTTTTTTTCCACAGTAAATTCAACGCGTAGCCTTGTACAAAATGCCAAATTTTTCTGCAAGTATCGCAGCACGATCATTTGCGTGAAATTGTTCAGCAGGAATCAAACCAGCTTCCACGTTAGGATTCAGCAGGCTCCATCAGTCATCGCATTCGCTCCAGAACTTATCCCACAACTTATCCAATCGACGTTGTTCCCTGGAAATTTTCAGAAATAATAAGATCAATGAATCAAGCATAAATGCGATCTTTTCCTTCGATCAAGCAGAACTAACAGCCGTTGAACTGGTTGGTTCATTTAACTTGGATACGAATCCATCCTCAGAATTTCAACAACAAAAACATGTCTGAAAAATCGGAGAGAATTGCAATTGAAAAAAAATACGGTAATCGAAAGTACCTCAATAGAAAAAATTAAGGAGTGACAAATGTTGGGTTTCTTTTCTCATTGATAAGCAACTTATTCTAGAGAATTACTTCAACAACCCAAGGAATGAATCATACCTTTAACAATTCAAACGATTTACAGAAATATCCAACTGAAACAAAGCTCGGCTAATGAATCAGTCTAAGGTGTAGTTTCCTTGAAGAAAAAATAATGTATTCGAACATTTGAATAACCGAGAATAAATTACGACACGGATCTCCACAAATGTTCTTTTCGATCGACCAAAATAACCCCGTTCTAATACCACAAATATCAGGAGTTAATCAAAAAGAAAATGTCTCACCCGATCCCATCATCAGGCAAAGAAACCCACTCTTTCTCTTCGTTCATTCTCTGGACGGCATCTTGGCGATGGAATCCTTCTCCCATGGTTACAAATAAGGGGAATGGTAGATTTGCGCTTCAACAGATCTAAACCTGGCCCATATTTGTTCCTTCATTGCCATAACCTGCCTTGACTTAGCTTGAAACATTGACGTTTCTCGACAATATTTGAGATGTAACCTGAGTACAGGTAACAGGTGTGACAGCATTTTGTTCTAAGTAGAAAACATGCTCAACGGAAGGGCCCAATGATTATCGACTACACGTCTCCGTTTCTTATTCACGTGTTCGACAGGAGTGGAAAAAACCGTGAGGCAACTGAGAGGAAAATTAAAAAAAAACTTGAATTACCACGTTAAAAATCGAAATGTTAGAGTGTGTTACCCATTTTCAGAATTGATTTTCTGACTCCACAGCATTTCCAATCTTTGAATGCTTTGTCGAGGAGTTCTGGCAGAGGCCAGATGTTTCTAAATATGAATGTATTCCACTTTGGAAGGTGTTTCTTCCGTCAAGATTTTTCATGTACAGAAAAGTTCAATACTTTTTATTCGCGTAATCAAGAATTTGAACTCATGCTGAACCTACCGCCATTTGATTCCGCATGAAGTTGTTTTACCTGCGATGGATCCTCCGCCGTCGTTTCATATCCTGCACATAAATAAATTATAAATTTAACTCACAGAATTTGAATACAGTATTAGTGATATCTTTTAAATACCATTGGATTTAGTTTCATTTTCAGCATCGGAGTGCGAAATCTCCGGTGATCCACTTCCAGCATATAAAAGACGTACCCATCAAAAAATGAAGAACTCGAACTGAATATGAACATACCAATGGATGTCGTTTCGTTTTCTCCGAACTTCGATAAATACCCTGGTGATTCAAGAATGTCATAAAGCGAGACGGAGCATTCGACTCCTGAATCATTGTCTGGAAATCAACAATCAATCAATGGATCAAGAAAAAATTTATTTTTCAAATACCAATAGAATCGGTATCGTTTTCAACATCGGGAGGCATATCGCCATTCGATTCATTTCCTGCACACAACATAAATGTCACGTTCAGAAAATCGAACATTCCAACTCAACGGCGATTAATTACACACCATCCGATTTTTTCGCGTCTTCAAATGAAGAGGTATTTTCTGGGGATTATTCATCTCCTGCATGTAGATAAAAAATGTCAACTCATAGAATTTAAAATTATGATCTGAATTCGAGCATACCATTCTATTCGGTTTCGTTTTCATGAACCGAAGACGAACTGTCCTTCCATCCATTTCCTGTCAACGAAAATACCACATTCAACTTTTTGTTTGAATACTTCCTGCAATAAAATCAAAATACCGTAAGTCTCTTCGTACTCCTCACGCGTCACGAACCTCCGTTCAAATTCATAATCTGAAATCAAACTTTTTATTGCGGAATTTTAATTTCGAGGTAATCGAACTTACCACCGGAAGATGCAACAAGGTCATGAACCATGATCAAACCTTTGTATGAAGCCTTCACTGCAAATAATCAGTTACAAACGTTTACTGATGGAATCGAACGAAAATCGACAATTCCTGGCTAACAATTGAAAGAGATATCGCTTTCATCATCGGAATGCATATGATCGATCGATTCAATTCATGCAAATAAAATAAATGCTCAGAAAATTTGGAATTCCAACAAATGAATTACATAAAACGTTGTATTTTCTTTCAACAAGCTGGAATTCTTCGATGATTTGAAACCTATGCAGGTAAAATGAAAATGTTTCACTAACGGACCTGTATTAACGAGTTGATTTTCGGCATATTATAAGATTTTTTTATCACTACAAATCAAAAACGAAATTCCCGTCGACACGTTCAGTGTCGATGAAAAATACATTCAATTTACGGTTTGGATACTTCCAACAAAAGATGAACACTTCACAACAAGATTTCGTTTCATTTCTCACCGAAGGTGAGTCATCTCTTGGAGAAATTTTCAAAATAAATGTACAGCACACAACTGAACTTTTAAAATCTGGTCTGATTCGGATGTATTCATCGAACAGAAGCTTATATTCCGACGATTCAAACCCTGTACATCAATTACAAATACCAATGCTCGACATTCAACACCTGGAATGGATTCAGATCTTACCATAAGATTTCTTCTCCTTTTTCATCCCAGAAGAATTTCCCGTAGCCCCTTTCCCTGCACAAAAACAGGATTGACGTTCACCAACAGAATTATTTATTCAAAATGATCATTTATACATACCCATGGAAGTCGCTCCCTTCTTTTCAACGCTTCCAGAATGATTCCCGTCTGGATTAACTTTTGCGGAGGACTCCATTATTTCGTAATTTCTTTGCTTTCTTTCTATTCTTCAAAAAATCTTTCGAACTTCCCTCCTGAACTTTAACCAGCACAAATCAGTGGACCATTAAGAGAATCTGATCTGTCGGAAGAAATGTGAACATAAATGAATTAGGGGAACACGTGGATCAGATGGTGAGGATACACAACTGAAAATTAGTTTAAAAACCATGCAAAAATAACGAAACTGCGTACAACTGCATGAACCCCCTGCTCGGCCAAAAAAACGGGGGGCAACAAACAATTCCTCAATGTCAGAGAAGCTTTGACATGCCGACCTCAGGGAGAAGTGAGAAAAAAAAGGAATAGTGTAGCATTTAGGACTTTCACTTTCGCTGCAACCCCAGGAGTACAGTGCAGTGCTCTGCGATCGCCCCTTTTTTTGGCTGCATGAACTGCAGGATTACCTGCATGCACTCGTCCGCGGTACGAAAATAACAGGCGTTCCTGATATGGCACAGGAAGTGCAGATAAACTCAGCAAGGAATCATTAAAAGGTCCAATACGAACCCAAAAACCGGTAAAGCCTCAAGTGACAACCGGGGCGGAAATGGAGAGAGGCAATCTAAAATCGAGGCGATAAAGGACTCCGTCCTTCTCCAATTTCCAGCACTTTCCTCATAAACTAACTGCCCCACTTCCAACTGCCCAAATTCTCAATTTCAGTAACTCGGTTTTGTCAGAATTGCTAGCTTTTATGGTTATTGATGTGTCGAACAGATGTTTCTTGGGCGGACGCTTCACAAAACTCACCCACGACGGCCATTACCCTACAATGTGAAACAAGCACCCAGAACAGTACCTATAAAACCCAGGAAGTGCCGCGTGGTAAACATCCCGGAAAACAGTTCTCACCTAAACAAATCCAGTACCCACCTGGTAAAAGCGAAACACAACACTTGACCCTCACATCCACAAGTTCGCCACGGAAAATTAAGAAATCCACAGAACATTCAAGGCAAGCTCATCGTCACACCGATGCACCACAAAAACACATATTTTCACGAGAGTGGAACCTAAAAATGAAGGTAAAAATGAAGAAGACAGAATGACTACCTTCATCGCCAATTGTCTCGCCGTTTTCCGGTTTTCGGATCAAGTATAAAAGCCACTTTCCTACTGTTGCTGAGTTCACAGAAACAGCAAAAAATAAAGTTTATGCTTTGCGAAAACGAAGAACTGTCCCTTGAATAATCAGTAACCATAAAAGCTTGCACTTGGGGGATACTGTATGTATTCCAGAAAGTTGATAATTTTTGCAAAAATTACGGGTAAAATTTGCTCGATAAAATTTGCGCATAGTTGGTTTGAGTGATTTTCATTTTTTATCAGACTAATCCGTTAGCTATCCATGTATTCCAGAAAGTTGATAATTTTTGCAAAAATTACGGGTAAAATTTGCTCGATAAAATTTGCGCATAGTTGGTTTGAGTGATTTTCATTTTTTATCAGACTAATCCGTTTGCTATCCTTTTTTTTTGTGTTACGAAAAAGGTCGCGGACATTACCTCACTCCAAATTCAATAAATTTCAGTACACTTCATCATCCCATGGAGTTTGGGTATCCATATTTGTACTGATTTAATTATAGTCGAAAAGGATTTCAAGAAAATGTTCCAGGTTCCCAAGTAAAGTTTTGATGCCTGAGGACGAGAATCCAATTCGAAGAATATCTTAATAATGCAGACACACCTTCGATTTTCCTGAATTCAAAGAAGCAGAAAACGCAGAGAAACCGAATCGGAAATTGTCGCAGATCAGCATGAACAAACAAGTGACGAAAATACACGCTTCAGATCAAGGAAAACTAGAATCCGTCAAGTTGTATTCATTTGTTCCCAAACTTGTCCTCTCACTTCATCTTCATACTCAACTCCTGTTCAATATGACCTGCGGGCTTTGAAGTTCGGTTTCCATGAAATTCGGAATCCGCAGCAGATATAACCATTACATTAAGTTGAGGTAACGATTCAAGTATCAACTGAATCACAACCGACTACCATATAAGTGTAACACAATAATTTACTTCGCAATTCAGACTTACGCAATCCGAAAAATGTGAAATTACCGTCCCGGAGATAAGATCAAATAAACTTCCTGGAACAGTAGCAGGCAACACGACGAAGGAAGGAAGCGAAGCCTACCTTGGGTTGTCATCGTCACACGCAACTAGCTCAATCCCAATCTTCATTGGTAAATATTACCGTGTTAAACGTAAATGAAAAATAAGATACAATATGATTTAAACTTACGTACAGTATTAAATTTCCCTATACGCGAGTAAGAAGTATAGCTTCTAAAAGCATGATGAAGCGACTCATTTCAGAATTGAGGCACTTACGAATCCTTATCCTGGGATGCGAACACTTCTGATGGGGATCAGCACCTACAGAGCCGCCTACCAACCTTCGTGCCCAGAAAAACCAAAACACGCCGTCCCGGAGTTGAAGAACGGACCTCACGAAAACAACAAGCAAGACTGCACATCTCCAGGGAACGAATCTTTATTTTAAACTACCAGTGAACAAGTTTCACTGAAGAGAACCCCCGCTGTTGTTCACAGCCGAAGGGCGCCGAAAACAATGTCTCTCGTGAAATTTATACCGTAAGGGGGTAATCGAGATGTTTGACTGAACCGCACTGATCTTTCCTCTTTCCCGCCGAATTTGTGCACAAAAGGTGGCAATAAATCTGAAATGAGTCTTTTCCGCGAAGCAGTAATCCTATTCTATGCATGACAACACATTCGTCTCAGGGACATCTGACGACGCCCACGAAACAATGGGTGGGTGAGTGATACGTCTTCATTTTTCAACAAAAGTGCTCATGCAAGTTCTTGTGCGAATCAAAAAAATGAATTTGGATAATTTTGGCTATAGGGAAGTTCCTGTGTGCACCTCTTACAAGGTTATTGCTATGTGCTTTATCTAACCTAACAAATATACTGTACTACACATTAAAATATATACGCATGTCCACAATGCCAGTGGGCTGGAATATTACCCACTAGCATTGTTCCTTCCAATTTTTTGCAAAAAAGGTAATGCTTGAATTAAGAATCCTTTCTCTTACAGTCTGGACCCCTTGCTCTCAATTGTGGGGCAAATCGTATGAAGAAAATGAATATGGATCAAATTTGTTTTAATTTTTGCTTGACGAGCTCACTTTTCATCTGCCAAACTAAAATAGATTAGTTTGGCGAATTAGATAAATAAAATTGAAATTCTAAAGAGACACACAGTTGAGTCAGCAATTTCTGAGCTAAAGAATCACCCAAGAACTTTCCTCCAACATACGATTGGCTCGCTCAATATTGGCAACCATGCGAGGACTCATAAGTATACCATAATGAGCCTCATGTATGCTTTTGTCAGAAGAACTACCGCACATCTTGGAATACACTTGTATGTTCTCTACCATAATCTCTTACTACTGCATGAGCCAGGGTGGGCACTCGGCAAATGCGGGCACCATGTACCCATTTACCACAGAATGAAAAAGGAAGAGGGGGGGGGATGTGGTGGACCTGTAAGAATCTGCAATGGACTTCTTCCCCAGAGATATGCCCTGTGCTTAAGTTCCCTCACCCCCTCCACAAAAATCCTTCCCTTATATTGCAGCATAACATCCCATTCACGCCATCTTCAGCAACATACGATAAAGGTGTTGATCTGCATTAATTTCTAGTTATCTACACAACAACGAAGTATTTATCATACAGTACAATACTGTAGCACGAGTCTCACAGCAGAAGAAGCCTGATATCCAGTTTACAATAAGTTCACTCCCCTCACACAGATATCACCGGCCCCAAAGAAAAAACCGCACTTCGGTGGGGTTTCTCTTCAGAAATTACGCACGGAACGGCGCGGGAATTTCAAATTGAAGGTCATATACAGCGTAATTTTTCTGATTTTATTAAAATATCAACAGAACATCGTGAAAATAACAACCAACAGAAGATTGAACCCCGCGACGTAAATATCAAATTTACATTTCGCGGAATTCAGATATCTCTTCCCCCCGCTACACTTTCATTTTACATTACATTCACCGCGTGGCCTTATATAAAATGCCAAAATTTTCAGCAAGCATCGCAGCACGATCATTCGAAAGAAATTGTTCAACAGGAAGCAAACCAGCTTCCATGTTGGGATTCAGCAGGCTCCAGTCCTTGCATTCGCTCCAGTACTTCTCCCAGAGCTTATCCAATCGATTTTGTTCCCTGGAAATTTTCGGAAATAATAAGATCAATTAATCAAGCATAAATGTGATCTTTTTCTTCAATCAAGCAAAACTAATAGTTGAACTGGTTGGCTCATTCAACTTGGATACGAATCCATCCTTAGAATTTCAACAAAATCGTGACTGAAAAATCCGGTAGAATTCAACTCCAGCTAGATCCTCTATTTTTCCCTCATTTCCCCGATGCAAAGGGGAAGACATTAAAAAATTACGGCAATCGGAAGTATAGATTCCCAGAAAAAAATCGAGGAGTGACAATTGTTGGGTTTTTTTTTCATCGGTAAGCAACTTATTCTAGAGAATTCATTCAACAACATAAGGAATAAATCAAACCGATAAGAATTCCAACGATTTACAGAAATATACAACTGAAATAAAGCCAGAATAAATTTAGACACGTATCTCCGCAAATTTTCTTTTCGACCGATCAAAATAAACCCGATCCAATACCAGTTGACCTTACTCCCAGACATACCTAAAAAAATCAGAGGTTGATCCAACAGAAAATTTCTCACCCAATCCCATCATTAGGCAAAGATACCCGCTTAATTTCTTCGTTCATTCTCTGGACGGCATCTTGGCGATGAGAATCCTTCTCCCATGGTTTCAAATAAGGGGAATGGTAGATTTGCGCTTCAACAGATCTGAACCTGGCCCAAATTTGATCCTTCTTAGCCATAACCTGCCTTGACTTATCTTGAAACATTGATGTTTCTCGACAAGATTTGAGATGCAACCTGAGTACAGGTAACACGTGTGACAACATTTTGTTGCAAGCAGAATACATGCTCAACGGAAGGATCCAATGACTATTGACTATAAGTTTCCGTTTCTTATTTACGTGTTCGACAGGAGTGGAGAAAAACGTCAGGCAACTGAGAGGAAGAAAAAGTTTTTGAATTACCGCGTACAGAAAATCGAAATTTAGAGTGTTACCTATTTTCAGAATTAATTTTCTGACCCCACAGCATTTCCAATCTTTGAATGCTTTGTCGAGGAGTTCTGGCAGAGGCCAGATGTTTCAAAATATGAATGTATTCCACTTTGGAAGGTGTTTCTTCCTTCGAGATTTTTCCTGTACAGAAAAGTGCAATACTTTTTATTCCCGTAATCAAGAATTTAAACTCATGCTGAACCTACCGCCATTGGATTCCGCATGAAGTTGTTTTACCGGCGATGGATCCTCCGTCGTTTCAAACCCTGCACAATAATACGTTCAACTCACGGAATTTGAATATTAGTGATGTTCTTTTTACATACCACTGGATTTAGTTTCATGTTCAGCATCGGATTGCGAAATCTCCGGTGATCCACTTCCTGCATATCAAAGACGTACCCATCAAAGAATGAAGAACTTGAACTGAATATGAACATACCAATGGATGTCGTTTCGTTTTCTCCAAGCTTCGATAAATTCCCTGGTGATTCAAGAATGTCATAAAGCAAGACGGAGCATTCGATTCCAGAATCATTGTCTGGAAACCAATAACATATGTTAACAGATGGATCAAGAAAAAATTGATTTTTTAAATACCATTAGAATTGGTATCGTTTTCAACATCGAGAGGCATATCGCCTTTCGATTCATTTCCTGCGGACAACATAAATGTCACGTTGAGGAAATCGAAATTCCAACGCAAAGGCAATTAATTACACACCTTTCGATTTTTTAGCATATCCTTCAAATGAAGAGGTATTTTCTGGTGACTCATCTTCTGCATGTAAATAAAAAATGTCAACTCATAGAATTTAAAATTACGATCTGAATTCGAGCATACCATTCGATTGGGTTTCATTTTCATGAACCGAAGACGAACTGTCCTTCCATCCATTTCCTGTCAACGAAAATACCACATTCAATTTTTTGTTTGGATACTTCCTGCAATAAAATCAACATACCGTAAGTCTCTTCGTACTCCTCACGCGTCACGAACCTCCGTTCAAATTCATAATCTGAAAAATATAACTTTTTATTGCGGAAGTTTAATTTTGAGGCAAATGAACATACCACCAGAAGATGCAACAAGGTCATAAACCATGACCAAATCGTCGAATGAATCGTCCACTGCAAATCAATTACAAACGTTCACTGATAAAATCGAACGAAAATCGACATTTTTTGCTTACAATTGAAAGAGATATCGCTTTCATCATCGGAATGCGTATCACCGATCGATTCACTTCCTGCAAATAAAATAAATACACAGAAAATTAAAAATTCCAACAACAAATGAATTACATTAAACGTTGTATTTTCTCTAAAACGACCTGCTGGAATTCGCCAATGATTTAAACCTGAAGGTAAAATGTTTCACTAACGGACTAGTATTTACGAGCTGATTTCCGGCATACCATAAGATTTTGATTTATCACTTATATTCAACAAATATTCAAAATAAATGTACTGAATACGACTGAAATGTTGAAATCATATCTGATTCGGATGTATACCTTGGGACGTTGATTCATCGAGCAGAAGCCTCTCGTCCGACGATTCATGCCCTGAACATCAATTATACAAATACGATTGCTCCATATTCAACACCTGGAATGGATTCAGTTCTTACCATAAGAATTCATCTCATTCTTCTCCATCCCAGAATTTCCCATAGCATCTTTTCCTGCACAAAATCAGAATTCACGTTGACTAACAGAATTATTTATTCAAAATTATCATTTATACATACCCATGGAAGTCGCTCCCTTCTTCTCAACCCTTCCAGAATGATTCCCGACTGGAGTTGCGGAGGATTCCATTATTTCGAAATGTTTTAGAATCTATTTCTAATCTTCAACAAGACAACAAATGAATTACATTAAACGTTGTATTTTCTCTAAAACGACCTGCTGGAATTCGCCAATGATTTAAACCTGAAGGTAAAATGTTTCACTAACGGACTAGTATTTACGAGCTGATTTCCGGCATATCATAAGATTTTGATTTATCACTTATATTCAACAAATATTCAAAATAAATGTACTGAATACGACTGAAATGTTGAAATCTGATCTGATGCGGATGTATACCTTGGGACGGTGATTCATCGAGCAGAAGCCTCTCGTCCGACGATTCATGCCCTGTACATCAATTATACAAATACGATTGCTCCATATTCAACACCTGGAATGGATTCAGTTCTTACCATAAAAATTCATCTCATTCTTCTCCATCCCAGAATTTCCCGTTGCATCTTTTCCTGCACAAAATCAGAATTCACGTTGACTAACAGAATTATTTATTCAAAATTATCATTTATACATACCCATGGAAGTCGCTCCCTTCTTCTCAACCCTTCCAGAATGATTCCCGACTGGAGTTGCGGAGGATTCCATTATTTCGAAATGTTTTAGAATCTATTTCTAATCTTCAACAAGTCTTCCGATTTTTAACCAGCACAAATCAGTGGACCATTTGAGAGAAACTGATCTGTCGGAAAAAATTTGAACAGAAATGGATTCGGGGAACATGTCGATCAAATGGCGAGGATACACAACCGAAAACTTGTTTAAAAACGATGCAAAAATAACAGGCGCACGTGATATGGTACAGGCAGGAAGTGCAGATGAACTCAGCAAAGAATCATTAAAAGGTCCAATACAAACCCAAAAACAGAAAAAGCCGTAAAAGTGACAACAGGGGCGGAAATGGAGAGAGGCAATCTATTTTGGAAAATAGGTTTCCGGCGGAACTTGGAAATAAACTCGCCAATATAAACAAAGCTTCCAATAGTTCCAAGAACAAAATCAAAACGCAAGGGGCAGATCAAAAGTTTCATAATGCTGGGATTTGTGATGTACAAAAAGAGCATATCACATCGAGGGAAAAAATCACGGACAGGTTTAAAACAAATTAAACTTTGATCATTTAAATATGGTACTCGAACAGCATTACCATCCGTTTAACAACCCAGCACTTCCTGAAAGAGGGTACTTGATAATATAGTATTTCGAAGTACTGTATTCTCATTACTCACATCGGTTTTGGGAACTCGAAAATATTGAAAACACGTTACAAGTAAGACAGATATTACTGCATATCCTTCCAAAAGGAAAGGAAGTGTTGGCGCAATAATTCAATGCATTCAGAGCCATGTTCCCTTGAAACTAAGATTGATCGAGTATAAACAATGTTCTTTTCTTCGCTAATTGCTTAGAAAAGCGATTTTTTCAGTACAAACGATATCCCAGGTAATGTTCGAAAACTACCCTTCTGAAATTGAGTCCAATAAAGGACTCGGTTTTTCTCCAACTTCCAGCTTTTTCCTCATAAACTGATTGCCCTTCTTCCAACTGCCAAAATTCTCAATTTTCAGCAACTCCGTTTGTCAGAATTGCTAGCTTTTATGGTTATTGATGTTTCCCGGACGGAGGCTACACAAAACTCACCCATGATGACAGCCATCACCCTACAAAAGCGCCCAGAACAGCACCCATAAAACCCAGGAAGTGCCGGTGGTAAACATCCCGAAAAAAAGTTCTCACCAAGACAAATCTGGTACCCACCTCATAAACAAAACACAACACTTGACCCCCGCATCTACAAGTTTGCCACGGAAAATGAAGAAATCCACAAAACATTCAAGACAAGCTCATCGTCACACCCATGCAGCACAAGAACACAAATTTTCAAGAGATTAGAACCTAAAAATGAAGGTTCTTCGATGGAGCGAGACGAAGATAGAATGACTACCCTCATCGCCAATTGTCTCGCCGATTTCCCGTTTTCGGAACCAGTAAAAGCCACTTTCCTGCTGTTGCTCAGATCACAGAAACAGCAAAAACTAAAGTTAATGTTTGTGCGAAAACGAAGAACTGTCCGTTGAAAATTCAGTAACCATAAAAGCTTGCCCTTGGGGGATACAGTATATATTGTACGTATTCCAGGAAGTTGAGAATTTGTGCGCGGTTGGAAATACTGTACTGTAGTGTCATTGCGCCAGTTATTGATGGGCAATTCCTGGATATTGGAGAAGGACTGAGTCATTTAATTGCCTCGTTTTCAGAGGGGTATGTCTCAAAAATTGCCTGGCTTGTCGTTAACACTGCATAAATAACTTTCCGAAGCAATTCAGCAATGTCATGAACCAAAGCTATCCTCAAATAATGCCAATACTTAACAAGAACTGGGAGTCCAATGAATTAACCACAGAATTCGTGAGGGTTTCTTGCTTTTTCATCTGTGCGGAAGGACGGATAATGGACCGATTATAATTCAGTAATGATGAATTGAGAGGCAAGCACTTTATATCGTTCTCCATTTGCGGGTACAATTTTGTACAATTTACAGGGAAAATGTGCTCGATAAAATTTGCGCAGAGTTGGCATGAGTGATTTTTATTTCATCAGCCTAATCCGTTTGCTATTCCTATTCTTTGTGCTTCAAAAATGGTCGCGAACATTACCTCACTCCCATTTTAATAAATTTAGAACAGTTTATCATCCCATGGAGTTTGGGTATCCATATTTGTACAGTACGGATTCAACTATAGTCGAAAAGATTTCAAGAAAATGTTCCAGGTTCCGAAGTTTTGATGCCTGAGGAGAATGCAATTCCAAGAATATCTTATAATAATGCAGGCATACCTTCGATTATTCTGAATTCAAAGAAGCAGAAAACGCAGAGAATCTGAATCAGAAATTGTCGCAGATCAGCATGAACAAACAAGTTATGAAAATTCACGCTTCAGATCAAGAAAAAGTAGAATCCGTCAAGTTGTATTCATCTATTCCCAAAGTTGTCCTCTCAACTCCTGTTCAAAATGACCTGCGGGCTTTGAAGTTAGATTTCCATGAACTTCGGAATCTGCAGCAGGTATAATCAATAAAGTAGATTAAGGTAACGATTTAAGTATCGACTGAATCACAACCGACTACCATATAAGCGTAACACAATAATTTACGTCGAACTTCAGACTTACGCAATCCGAAACATGTGAAATTACCGTCCCATCAGATCAAATAAACTTCCTGGAACAGTAGCAGGCAATACCAGCACGATGGAAGGAAGCGAAGCCTACCTTGGGCTGTCATCGTCACACGCAACTATAGCTCAAACCCAGTCTTTATTGGGAAATACTATTGAACGAAAATAAGAAAAAAGATACAATATGATTTAAAGTTATGTATAGTATTAAATTTCCCCACAAGCAAGTAAGACGTAGCTTGTAAAAGCATGATGATTAACAGCGAACATTACAGAATTGCGGCATTTACGAATCCTGGAATGCGAACAGCTCTGGGGATCAGCGCCTATATAGTCGCCTACCAACCTTTTGACATTTGGCCAGAAAAACCAAGACACACAGTCAGTTGGAGAGTCGAAACCGGACCTCGCCAAAAGAACAAGCGAGAACTTACAAGAACCGAGTCACACTGCACATCTCCGGTGAATGAATCTCTCTTTTAAAGAAACTGTCAGTGAACAAGTTCGAATGAAGAGAACCCCCGCTGTCGTTCACAGCTGAAGGGCGCCGAAAACAATGTCTCTCGTGAAAGGGATACTGTACGGGGGTAATTGAGATGTTTGACTGAACCGCACTGCTCTTTAGTCTTTCCCGCCGAATTTGTGCACAAAAGGTGGCAATAAATCTGAAATGAGTCTTTTCCGCGAAGCAGTAATCCTATGCTATGCATCACAACACATTCGTCTCAGGGTCATCTGACGACGCCCAGGAAACAATGGGTGCGTGAGTGATACGTCTTCATTTCTACTTGGTTACCCGATGTTACACCCATTCGAATTTTTCATGCAACAGGGGTTTAGTTCCAGTTTGAAACGGAATGATGTATGAAACTATAACTGTGTAGTCAAAAGCGATTGTTTCAATTTTATTGTAACCAGCTGACGTCAGTAAATCTTTTTTTCTTTTGCACAGAGGTGAACTGTTCAACAGCGCAACACATGAAACATGACAGCTGGATATAAAATGCAGAACAATTTCTCAACGATTTTCACTGCAATTCTCACTTTCCGGTTTATTTCAATGAAAAGGGAATCACAATCATATTCTATACGATTCAAACCGTCCTTTCTCACTATGATCATTTTTTGGCAAACATTTGCCTCTCACTTTGCAAGTTCCACAAAAAACAGGTAAAGCCCAGTATTGCTCAACAAAAGTGCTCATGCAAGTTCTTGTGCGAATAAAAAAAATGAACTTTGATAATTTTGGCCAGAGGGAAGTTCCTGTGTGCACCTCTTACAAGGTTATTGCTACGTGCTTTCTCACTTCGCAGATATACTGTACTGTACATTACAATATACGCATGTCCACAATCTGAAAACGCAATCAAAATTGCGTAGAGCATATTTTCTATGGCTCAACTTTATATAGGAATATTACCCACTAGCATTGTTCCTTCGAATTTTTTTCAAAAAAAATTGGTAATGCTTAAATTGAGAATCCTTTTTTACAGTCTGGATCCCTTGCTCTCAATTGTGGGGTAAATCCTATGAAGCAAATGAATATGGAACAAATTTGTTCTACTTTTTGCTTTACAAGCTCACTTTTCATCTGCCAAACTAAAATAGATGAGTTCGGCGAATTAGATAGATAAAATTGAAATTCTAAAGAGACACAAAGTTGAGTCAGCAATTTCTAAGCTAAAGGATCACCCAAGAACTTCCCTCCAACATACGATTGGCTTGCTCAATGTTGGCCACCATACGAGGACTCATAAGTACCATAATGAGCCTCATGTATGCTGTTTTCAGAAGAACCACCGCCCATTTTTGAATACACTTGTATGTTCTCTGTAGCATTCATGAGAACAGACCCTTCCTCTTTTCTTCCTGGAAACAGGGCTCCAAACAGGAACTCCATTGGCCCTGGTTGACCTATTCCAGAAAAAAGAAGTCAATTGCTTTCAAATTCTAGATTTAAAAAATATATGCTTAGACTAAATAAAGACACTCAGAAATGGTGAATTTGAGCTTCAGATCATGCTATATGGGCATAAAACATATACAGTGGCCCCCCGCCTAACAGACCTCCGGTGTAAGGGAGTTTTGCCGAACAGACCAGCTCTGCAAGCAGTTTTTCCTCCTGCCCAACAGACAAAATCCGCCAAACAGGCTTTTTTTGGTTTAAAATTAGTGTTGAAAATTAAAAGGACTTTTTGTCTAACAGACTTGTCCCTTGCACAAATCAAGTCCGTTAGACAGGGGTTGACTGTACTGCCAAAAAGCTTACATAAAAAAAACGTATAAAGTTCCATATTCTAACCTGTTGGAGGCACAATGGAAGTACCACTCCTGTAAAGGGCCAAGAAAACAACAAAGTTGGTGAGGCACAGGAGCAGAACTGTCACTAGGAATGACTCAGGCCCCAGATGCTCAAAGAACTGCAATTGAAAAAAAATTGAGAAACATAGGAAAATTTTATTTACTCAAAAGACTCACATGACCCAAAACCACTGGCAAAGTTGTCTCCCCAATCACTGCACTGATGACCAGCTGTGTTGTTATTGCAGCTGTGTGAATAAAAAACAGATTATGTATACAATGTACAAATTTCAAAATCAGTGAATGTCAGCAAGAGTAACAGCTCCATTATTATATAAAATTCCTTCTGGCTTACTAAGAAATTCAAAATAATGTTCAATAAGTTCTTCAAAGAAAGAAATGACCATTCTTTCAAATTATTACAATTTCAGCCAGCTTAATCTAGACATTCGCGACGTTTCCAAATACAACAATCAAAATGATAAAATATCCTCACGATTCATATTTATGTAAGTCCCAGCTAGGGAAGTTATTGTCGGAAAAGAGCTGCTCAAAAACAGGCCGAAGCAACTGGCCCCGATGTAAAATGCCGCATGATTGTGCGGGAAAAACACCAGCAAGGCGATTGACAGCAATGTTCCCGACTGAAAAAAAAAAGCCATACATTTCTTCATCATCACAGAACTACTGTATGATTGGCTGGCATCAATTTTTTGAAACCCAAGCTTCCTGCAATATAGATGCACCTTTGACCAAAATAAACAGTTCTAATATCCAAAAAAGACGTGCACGTAATGCATTACCACAATTTCCCGTGGACATCATTGAGACCTCCAGTTTTTTATTTATATTTACTCAATTTCGGATATTTCCAATTTTAGTAAATGATTCGAATAAACAAAATTGTAACTGTGAACTTTCAAGAATTAAAAAACGGGATTCCAATGCTGTAATATATTGCATTCAAACTCACTAGAAAGTGGGAAACAAACATGCAGTATTTATTTTCCCAAGTCGTGGAAAATCCGCAAAAAAGTTTTTAATGCCCTTTTCATGCTGAAACTGGTATGAGTTGTCTCGAGATACAAAGCAGTTATTCATTTTTTGATAGGAATTCGTGCTATTTTAAAATCTCTTGCCAAAGAAAAGTGCTGAGAAGTGTTAAATTAAATGAAAATGAAACCTTGTTATGATAGAGACCAGATAATAAAATATTGAAGCTGATTGATTCGCTTGAACGAGTTAAATTTTAACAAAATTGACGAAAGCATCGCAAATATTTCCTTTCATTTTCTTTCAGGATTTACAATGCTCAAATGGACAAAAAGGTTTGCACTTTGCCAATATGTGCTGCAACTTTCAGAAATGAAGTTTTTATTTCTCACTGGTTCTTTGTAAGGGTACATAGTGTTTCAAGTTTTG